TGAACCGCTATCCACAAATCCAGCATTCATTTCCAAATTTTCCCTGCTGGCTCAGCAAGTGCTAGGAGAGAAGCTGTAGAGCACATGTGACTGGACAAAAAGCTCTTTGGAAAAACAGCATCTTATCAAGAAATCATCTGGAACAGCTGCAGCCAGAACATGGGTATCTTCCCTACCTTACAAGATAACCTGGGTACCTTAATCTTCAATAAACCTACCCTACAATTCTAATCATGAGGGGAAGAGTCAAAGCATCCGAGACTGTTTTACTAAATCAGAATAGCTCAACTAAGATATACGACTCAGAATCTATATTAAACAAATATCTGTATTTTGATTAACTTTCTCTTGCCTGGGTAGACTACCATTAAGCACATGCCTGCAGAGCTGCCATACATAATAGTCTCCACAAGATTGTTGTCATTACTACTACCACCTGGTCTCCCTGCCCAATATCTAGTAGTTTAAGATGTAGTACGTGAATGGTTCAGTTGGTCATTTTAAGCTCTGAGCCGGATGCAATCCTTCCCTAAGCTCCTATAATGCCTGATCACAACTAACTTTTTCAACACTATTGTAATGCATCCAAAACTAACCAGGATGACTTGTTCATGCTGTAGGCCAGAAAACTACAGATACTGTTCAGTGTTACTAGGTAGTATAACTATGGCTTATACCATCTTCATAGCTTAGAAGATGGTAGACAGATTTTTTTTTTATGCACGCAAAAGTCACTTACTAAAGGACCAGCAGCCTTTTACCCGAAATGGATTGGAGCTTGCCCAATTTGTAGTTGTGGGGTAGAAGTTTCCATCCAACAGCCCACTACTGCTGCTCTGACATGTGGCCGGGGTACTGGAGGGGAGCACTGCTGCAGGGGGGGTGGGGAAAAAGAGGAGGAGAACATGGGTGACAGCACAGATCTGTACCACCAATTTCCTGTATCCTACTGGGGCTATGCAGGCTATTGTCTGCCAACTCCTGATGCAATTAAAAAAATATCATCCTTTCAAATCTTATAAGCCATCTCATAGAATTTAGACTAGCTTGCCAGAAGACAGAGGAAGTTTAGCAATACCTTCAATTGATCAACTGTACATCATGAATAAGCTTGGGTGCTGGAAGCAATACCTGCATTTTCCATGCATCGCATGCAGCATGTTAGGATGCATGTATTTAGTAAGAAGGCACACTGAACAAACATCACTAGAGCTGTGGAACCCCGAGGCCAGGCAGACATAACACAGAGCACACATCTTTTACCTTGACTAGTGGGTTACCCCATACAAGAAATATTTAGCATTAACTCCCTATTTCGCTCTTGCAATACTTTATCTTCATGTGCCTACAGAGACCGAAAATGAATGTTCTTGTTAGTCCCTATTTTAGGCAAGAAAGCCAGCTGATACCTAGCATCTAATACCATAATCAGAAACTAAGGCCTGAATCCTGTAAGTATTTAAGCATCAGTACTTTGCACACAGTACTGCGACCGAGTTCACAGATAGTGCTCTTAAGCATGAAGTTATTCAGGAACCAAGCAGCATTCTCCTTTGCAGAGCCAGGCACTCTGAAGTGCAGAAGACCGAGACAGAGTAGGAACACATTGGTCAAAATTGAGTGTGTACAATTGGGTCTTCCTATAATAGTAGCTCTTACTGATCAACTAAACATTACACACCAACTCAGATGGGGCTTCAAAGAATAAGATGGTCCTTTCCAAAAAAGCCCTAAAATCTAAATCAGCAATTCTCAGCCAGGATGCTGCACAATATTAGCACTCTTGGGTGTGCAAACACTTACACATAAGTCACAAAATGAACTCAAAAATTTCATTTTTTTAAGCCTCTTGTGTAAAGAACTGCAGAAACCAAAAACTAGCATTTTCCAGAGTGCCCCAAGTCTACAGAAAGTTGACAGCCACTGATCTGAACAGATAAGACACCATGAAGAAACCACAACTGGAACCAACATTGATTGAGGGGTCATGCTAGTAACACGATTTTTTGGTTGGGTTCTTTGTATGCAAGTGTTACGTAATTATTTGGGGGGGGGGGGGAAGCAAAGTAGACCTAGTCTAAGACAACAAAATGAAAGACAAAGGAGTTAGAACTAGAGAGTGACAGTAAGCATGATGTGGAAGACTGAGGAGAGGAGGGAGCATAGCTTGGAAATCAAGTGGAAAGAGGTTGAACTAAAGCTACTAGGAGGGGGATAAGAAAGAACGAAAAAAAAAATTAAAAAAGAAAAGAAGGTGAGTAGGGGCATTTTGATTCCACATGTATTAGCTCTCTACAGCTAACAGAGATTAGAACAAGGTAACATCTTGTGGCTCTGGTTCAAGTTACAAGGGTGTCAAAACAAATACAAGTTCCATTCCATAAAGCTGATGCTTGTTTGTAGGCCTGGCACCACACACAGTGGGCCCCTAACCTGTTGGTGGCCCACGGCCAGCAGAGCAAGTACCATTCTTCAAACAATATCACACTTGGCTCTCCCTGTCACCATTTCCTTGGCTGCAATCAAGAGGAAAAAAAAAGTCTAGTGGGAAATATGCCCTGCAAAAGACATGTGCTGAAGACCTACGACTTAAATCCATATTCTACCCTACAAAGAACTAAATCCAAGTGGAAAATTAACAGGTCTCAAGCCATATGTTCAAAAGATGACCTTAAAACAGAAGGGGGGTTTTTTGCTTTGGGTATTTTTCCTTCTTGATGGTCTTCTAACTGCATAAAAGAAATGAACACAAGACTTTGAAAAAGTTACAAAATTCCTTTTCACAGCCTATTATACACAAAAAGAGTTCCACTTCGTACAAGAGACAAGCTTCATTTCAGCAGTTTCATTAAGCATTACCTAAGCTAATACTCTCCCTATAGCACATTTCTCAACTTTGAATAGACGCATTGAAATATTGTAGTATTCTAGTTTTGAGACTATACAAAAAGCTGGTTATAGGATTACTGGTCATCTTATGACGGCCTTGGTGGGGTCACACACCACTAAAAAACAACCTCTCCCCCAAAAAAACACCCCACTACACAAGAAGCATGCCCAGAAAATTCATGTCTATCTTATTTCTACTGTATGCAGTTTGAGCAGTTACCAACAGAACAAGATGGTTCTGCTTTTTAAAAAAAAAATTCATAAGTATGTTTTTTAAAAGAAATACTTACTTAAAGTTCAGTTGCTTGAGGCCTGATGAAGTTGGGCTTTTTTTTTTTTTTTTTTTTTTTTTTTTTTTTAGGGTGGGGGTTGGGTTTCCAATGGGGAAGAGCTGAAGAATTATGATCCAAGACGTTTGAAATAACATTCCAGTTGTTAGTAACTTGAAACTAGCAAGCCTTTTTCTGAAAGATTACTTCTACATTAATATCCTGCAAATTCAGATTTCAAACAAAAATGCTTGAAGTCTGATTCAATCTCTCAAGACAAGTATGTATAAAGGAAACTATGATGTACAATGTGTCACCAGAAGAAGCCAGTCATATATACAAGATGTTACCAAAAAAAAAATCCCTCCCAAAAACAGTTGTTTCATGGAAGAAAAAGTAAAGAGGGATAAGACTATACAAAGTGAAGAGTATTTCCAAACTTCTTTTAGTGGAGGAAGTTTACTTTTTTGAATACTTAAGGATTCCACTTTAGTTGCAAGAGGGTTTTTTTTTTGTTGTTGTTGTTTTTTTTTTGTTTTTTTTCCTATTTAATAAACATCGCATTTGCTTTTACCCTAGAAGCATCAGTGGTGCGGTTGGTTAGCATTTAGTTTTCCACAGCACACAGGGATTAGAACAAGATACATGTTAATGGGCTCAGCCAGATGACAGAATAGAAATGTAGCATTTTAAAAGTTATACAGGGGTGTAGGTTGTAGCCGTGTTGGTCTAAGGACATAGGCAGACAAGGTTCCTTGAGTGAATCTGATATCTTTTATTAGACCAACTCAAATAGTTGGAAAATAGTTATTAAGCAAGCTTTTGGGTTGGTCTAATAAAAAATATCAGATTCACCCAAGGAACCTTGTCTGCCTAAAAGTTATGCAGCATTTGTTGTAACAGTCTCAGTTGTGGAATACAGACACCCTACATGTTCTTTCAATTCAAGAATGGAAACAGTGTCATCCCTTGGGAATTTCTTCCCCCTTTCAATTTTACAGCTCTACCCACTACTGAAGGAAAGAGAAAGGAAGGAATCACTGATTTACTTTCTTCAGAAAATAAGAAGAAAGCTTTGCACTCAAAAGCTTGTCCAACTCTACCACAGCTATACAGCTGGTCCACTACAAGATATCAACCAAAACATCCTTGCCTCTTGCATAATTCCTGGGCCAATCACAGCTGCAATATTACTAAACACTACCAGTTAGCCCCTGCACCCTCTCTTTATATATGAATTAAACCCCTTTTAATAAAAAAAAAAAAAAAAAAAAAAAAAAAAAAAAAAAAAAAGAGAAGCAGCAGATAAACAGCCTTGAACAACCACATGGAAAACAGAAACAAGCCAGTGCCTGTTGCACCACAACACTCCAGCTCCCAAAATAAAAGGACATAAAGCCTTAAGCTTAACTGGGGGTCGAGATCAACAAGACCTGTTAGTGCTCAGCCTTGGGGAGCTGAATGCCACTTGCCCCTCTAGGGTTGTTTCTTGTAGCACTTAAGACACTAGCAGGCAAGGTTCTTTCGTAGATGTGATATCTTTTATTAGACCAACTCAATAGTTAAAAAAGAAGTCTTTGCACACCTTTGGGCACAAACACCCTTCTCCAGGCACAGGGAGCTACGCCTGAGGAAGGGCATTTGTGCCCACAAGCTGGCAAAGGACAACTTGTCCCTCTAAGAAGCTGGCTGAGTAACTACTTGGCATGCCAGAGTCTTGCTCCAAATGTCTCCACCAACTGAGAAGGCTCCAAGCCACATGTCTCACTAGCAGGCAAGACTCTTTCGGTGGCTACTTAACATTTATTCAGGGGGCTGTTTCTGCAACCCTCAGTAGCAGTGTTAGACTCCAGGTAGGGAAAGGAGAGGAGCACAACCCAGGCACCTCAGGTTCCCGCTACTTCAAGAAGTGCCAGCTCCTTCGGCAGAGGACTCCGAGGCACATCTGGGGTCTGACCCTGCCGCTTTGGCTCTTCACACCTCCTCGGGCTCTTCACGCCCTCCAGGGGCCACAGCTCTGCCTCCAACGTCCCCCCCAGGGGGGGAAGGCAAAGGAAAGCAGCAGAGCCCGCCGGCGGGCAGTGGCAAAGCACAGCGGGCGGGGAGCACCACAGGGACCCCGTGGCCCCCCTCGCAGCCCTGAGCCGCTCCCGGGCGAGGGCGGGGACACGAAGCTCACCTGGCCGGGAGCTGCGCTTCCCAGGCTCCCGGCGGCAGTGACGGCCAAGAGCAGATCCAGCCACTGCTCCTGCTCCTGCCGCCCACTGCTCCTGCTCCTGCCGCCGCCGCCTCGCGAAGCCTTACGCCCCGCCGCCGCTGCACCCCAAGTCCCTCAGAGCCTGGCCGTGGAGGCCGCCATCTTGACTCAGGCAGGCAGACCGCCTTCTATACGCATGCGCCGGCCAGGCCCGGCCTGTCACGGGACCCGCTCAGCTGACTCCCTCCCCCCTTCCTGAAGGGGCACGGCCCTGCCCCTGAGGGCTGTGCGCATGCGCGAGTCGGAGAGGCTTCCTTCCCGGCGCGGGCGGGTTCTCAGTGAGGGGGCGGGGCCTGTGGAGAGCTTGGGGTGGGCGGGGCTTGAGGCGGGCGGGACTCGGAAAGCTGTGGAGTCGCGGGAAGGTGGGAGGGACTGGTGTGGGGTGTAATTAGGCGACCTGGAGGCTGAGGGAAGAGCTTGAAAACAGGGGTAAAGTGGCGTCTTAGGGAGGTGACCTGAGGAGGATTATGTAAGAGAGAAAGACACCAAGTCAGTCCCAAGGGGTGGTTGTGTGGTGACTCCTGGTTGTGGGGCTCATGCAGTGAGGAAAGGGGCAGGAGGAGAGAGGATAAGAGCCAGAGAAAGAGGAGGAGGCTGGATAAAGGAGGCAGAGTGATGAAGGGGATGGGAGCAAGATGAGGCAGGGAAGCAGAAGCAGGAAGGACGGATGAGCCAGGGAGGGAGCAGGCCTTTGTGATGTGCGTTGGGGGTGGGGCCAATGCCCACCCAGTAAAGCTAAAAGCTCCTGACCTTTAATATGGGGGAGTGCTAAATGCACATCATGTGACTAGCGCAGACAACTAAACAAGAAAACAGGGATGGGAGTGACAATCAAAAACGGGCACACCAAGAAGGGACACTTCACAGACCCTGCCAGGCAGTGCCCACTGGCCCTGGAATAAGTCCAGGGAGGCAGTGGACACTGGCCAGTGAAACTCTGTCCAGAGGTGTGATCCCAGGGATAGGAAAATGGCCTTGTATTCCCCAGGGGTCCCTCGGCTAAAAGAGTCCCGCAGTCCCCTACTTTCTTCTGGGTCAGTAGCTTGCTAGCTTACCAGGGCCAGGTATAGGTTGACCAGGAGGTCCCAGGACTTGGTGGGGCTGCGGATGGGGAGTGCAGAAACGAAAAGGTGCAGGGAGTAGTGCAGCCAAAACCTGAAGGAGGCAGTGAAGGAGCTATTGCCTAGGGCACTCCAGGTAGGTGTGTGCCAGAGTCTCCCTCTGCTCACAGAAGGGCAGGTGGCAGGGGAGTCTGTGAAGTGTGCTGGATGCATGCCTGTGGAGACAGTTCATGGAGGAGCTGCCAGCTGAGATCCTCAGTGGTTTGCAGGATCAGGGTGGTGTATAGGCTCATGCACCAGGGACCCACATCCTCAGAGAGGGTGTCCTGCCACTTGATTCTCTCCAGGACATCAGGAAACCGCTTCTGCTGGGTAACACTTTTTTACCAGCTGACATAGGACACTTTTCTCACTTTAAACCCTGTTCCTGTTGGGTTACAGATGCATTTAGGTGTAAAGGGAAAGGGTGTTAGTGGTATATTAAACCAATGTCTCATGGAGAGAACAGTCCTGAAAATGCTGATGGCAAAGATACAGACTTGCCTTCCTGACATTAAAACAGTTCAGTGTTATCTGAAGGCTTTTAAATACGTACTCCAGGAGCAGGAGGGGTGGGAGGCATTTTAATAGTGCAACTCTGGGACACTGATACACAAGACACAGGAGACTGCTGGAGCACGGTAATTGCTACACTCCAGCAGACTTGATTAATTGAGTCTGCTTGACACACTGGAATTCCAGTGCATCAGAGCAGCCTCCCTGCTCATGTATAAGCACCCTGAGAGCTCCCAAGCGTTGAAAACATTAGCTTGTACCATACACAACAGGTTATTTTCTTCAGCTGTTGCATGATCTTTTCTGGGCATTATACTGCATTTTGGATACTCTAACTGATTTTTTTAAGGCTGCGTGGCAAGTTTAGGCCTCACAATTGTATTTTGTTATAACCTTCAGTCTAAGTCATTTAAAAAAAAATATGGCAGTAAAGAAAACACCAGGTATGAAATCCAGGCTCCCCTATAGTCAAATGGAAGTTTGCTTCTGAACTTAGTGGAACTAGGATTTCACTGCAGGCTGTCGCAGTCATTTAGGTTAGGGACAGACATTACGTATAAACCAGTTTAAGTGATCAAAAACTGGTTTAAACCTGTAATAGAACAGACATTCAGTGCATGTAAACCAGTTTGAAAATGGCTGAAACCAATTTGAGATAAACTTGGTTGAATGTAGTATCAGATTTAACTGACTGAGGTCAAAACTGTTAATGCAGTGTTTGTCCCTGACCCCTTTCTGGTTTAAGTTCAGCCAGAGTTCCCTAGGCTTTCAGATGCTTTGCAGCCCTGGATGGGGCTCTCCTCTCTACTCCAGCCCCGCAGGACTGCCACCCCCGTTGCTCCTTGGCTGGAGCTTCAGCAGAGACTGCAGGTACAGCAACATCTGCCTGGCTTCCTCCTGCTCACTCACCCCACCCTCCACCACTCCCTGCTCAAGCAGGGATTCCCCTCCAGAGCATGGGCTGCAGCCAGCATGTGTTATGCTAGCTAATGCTGAGAGTTGTCTGTGCAAGGCAGACAGGACAAAGGCAGACAAGACAGTGTCCACTTAGGGCTTTTTGGAGCTAATCAACAGGTAGCTGATAATGTCCCTCTGTTCCTTCCTTGGAAAAAGGTTGTTTAAGAAGAGCTTGAACTAATGAGAGAGGCTTTTGTTTTCTGATGGGGTACTAAATGCTGTCAACTCCCTGTGTAACTCCCTTCTGTGTAACTAAATGCTGTGCAACTCCCTGCTGGCTCCCTCGCTGGTCAGGTGAAGCGAGGGAGAGGAGAGGGGAAACTCCTCCCTAGTCAGAGCATCCTGCCCAAGTCTGGCCACACCCCCTCAGCTCAGCACTTGGGAAGGGAAGGGAAAGGAGGGCTGCTCAAGAACGCCCCCAGCTTCTAGCCTGAGCCACTGTAGGCATGTGCCTGCATTTCTTCAGTTCAGATGGGATGTCTGTACAGTTACGAACCAGCTTAGCCTAGCCAGGTTAGACTAACCTGCAAAGATTGAATCAATTCAGGCTCAGGCTTTTTGAATGTCTGCCCCCAGCCATATTTTAACAAGGTCTGAAGCCATTCTTAGATTATTAAAAACAAGAATTATAAAGCAGTAAAACAGTTTTGGTGTCTGGTTCTGGGCTAAAAAACTCATAGCCTTAACCCATACTGGAGAAATGCAACTGTCTTCATTACTTCCACATCTTACTTTTAAAAAACAATTTCAGATGTCAGATTGACCTTGTCAGTTTAAATACTGTCATTTGCACAGAAGTCAGGTGTCCTCCAGTCTTGCGAACAAGTCTCTCCTTACCATCCAGTTACTGGAATCCGGAAGGAATGAAGATTTCTAATTCACTGCTGAATAATTAACACCGTGTAAGACTATTTCTGTGATCAGTACCTAATCTAAAAGGCTGTGCGCTCTTTTAGTATGACTAAATTTTTTCAAGTATGACACAGTCTTAGTACAGCAGAAAGCTACTGTACTTTATGTCTGCAGAAAAAACAAATAAGGTATCTTGATCATTTTTAATAACGTGACACATCAGAGTTCCACATTTTTAAAGCAGATTTACTATGCTTCACAGAAATCACAGGCCAGCTTCTGCCTGGCCTGTTTGCAGTGAGGAGAGAAGAAAAAGAGGTGTGTTTGACCTTTTACTGTCTACAATATCCTGGCAGTTTTATGCTCTAGTAGTCCAGGCAAAACAGAGACTCCTTCAACCTATATTGTCTTGTGGGCACAGCATGCTGTAAATAAAATAGAGACGATATGGCTCTACCTCTTCTGTTCAGCAGACCCAACTGGCTGTGTGTGAGATTGTTGCATCCTGCAAATACATATAATAATGGAGTATAGAAGCTATGTACACTGAGGTAGAATGTCAGTGTTTTCCATAGGGTACTGAGACTCCACAAAGGCCTTAGTATGGATTGTATCTACATGCAGCTCAGTATTACTTTTGCTAACATAATTTCTTAGTTATATTTTCTTTTTTATGTTTTCTTCTTTTTTCTCCCTTTATGTTTATGTCTGCACCCAATAGTCGTGATATTTGGACACGTCGATACAGTACCAGATTGCTCCTACAACTGAAATAAATCGTTAAGGGGAGATTTTCATATGGACAAGAGGAATGTGTGTGTCCAAGTCCCACTGAAAGTCAAAGTAAGTAGTACACCTAACTCTCCTCCTTGACTTTAAATGTTTCTTTCCCAAATTTTGAAATTTGTGCTCACATTTCATTCCAGATACAAAAAAAAAGTCACTTAACCTTTAAAAATCTAGTCCATGGTGTATTATCACTGTTTGTACTTGTTTCACAAAAATGGAAATACCCACATTTTGTTACAGGCTAAATAAGCAGAGACAACTATGGTATTTGCTACTTTTATCTTCTGAAATATTAATTCAATTATAACTATAGGTTCTTACCCATGAATAGCTCTCTTCTCCTGATAGATTCATTAAATGAATGATAATTTTTAGGTACTTCCTGGTAATAACTTGATAATAAATATATCCTGGGCTAATGAGGTGAAAGATCCAGTTACTGGGTTTTACTAAATTATTAACAAGCAGCATCCTCAAGTTACTGATTCATGCTAAACTGTTCTCACATTCCTACAACCTCTACTCCGTTAGCTACCATAAGGGCCCCTCCTCTGCTCAGTTACTGTTCTCAGTTCCCCATGCATATGTGCACAACAAACATTTCCACCATAGCTTCCCTCCCTCCACTGTAACTTCACATAACCTTCCCCCCTTAGTTTCCCTTCATTACCTCTTGAAAAAATAAAAGTATCAATTGTTATTCTTTGCTCTGCTGGATGAATCCAAGTAACCTTCTCAATTGAAGATGTCTTAACTATTTTATCTTCATTATTCAGTTATGCTCCCATGCCTTATTTACTGTTCACTTTTCAGACTTTTAAATGCCAAATTATTAATTTCCTAGTGAGTGCTTGCATGGTGTTTATCTCTATAGTGTCTGAGTGC